GAGTCATATGATTGAGCAGTCACAACAGTTGCATTCGCTTCCGATTCGACTGCTGCTCGAGCGCAATTTGCATTAGGCCACGAGTTGCTGCAGCCGCAGGAAGTGCACGAGTCTGTACGCAACTGCGCGTGCGTCATCGGTCTGAGTGTGCATACCCCACCTATTGATTGATAGTATCAGTGGCGGTGTTCTCGCGCGCCACAAGTGCGTTTGTGACGCTTGCGTTGTAAGCTGATATGCGATTATGCGTCCGGGTGTTCGTCATTCTCCACATCTCATCTGCTAACTACGCCCTCGTTGTTCGTAGTTCTAAGTCTCTTATGTTGCGTCGCAACCCCAAAGTCCAAACATCGATGCTTTTTTTTCTCATGTGATGGTTCTTCTTTCCGCGCGCACTGACGGTTTCCACCATTCGTATCATATTCAGGAGCAGAATTTCCGGATACTGCGGTCGCTTTCAGCAGAGCATGCTCTATATTACTAGCACACAGTTATTTAATATTGTCTGGTGTTGCCTTCGCAAAATACTCGTATCACTTTGCTTTGTTTTCACTCTCTTCCTATCAAAAAGATCAAGGCTTGCATACATTTCGAGCATTTGCGTATCATCAGACGAGATAATTCAAACTTATAGTGCATACTACTTGGTGAAAAAGTACGATGAATTTGACAATTACATGTTGCAGTGTCTGAATTTGTTTGAACAGGATACACTACAAAATCGGATTGCAAAAACAACAATAACTGTTTGGACTTCGCGGACCAAATCTCTTCGATAATTGTGGCTGTAGGACCTTACTTGTGATCGCAAAGACACGGGCTAACGGAAGAAATTTCCGCAATGATCCTTACGCCGTTGGCAGGCAGCCAGTGATTAATGAATGGCCAAGCAAGTGGCCGCAGTCATTCAACACTGTTGTCCACATCCCGCGACCAGCGAAAGTCTAACACTAACCGATGAGAATCACCCGTCAAATCGCAGCCGAGAGGAACGTCGCCCAACAACCCTGCTCTTGCATCCGTTCTCGGGCCCGCTATCGATCCTCCAACGATTCGCGTTTCGCTATTATTGAGACGCATTAAATCCGGTCTGTCTTACGTGATTTTTGAACATGGTTCCAAATATGTGTCTGGTATCCTTTTAACATCATCAACTTTCTTTTAATCATTCCGCTCTCGCTCTTTTTTTTCATTTTGTCACTGCCCTGACGTGAATTGTCCTCTTTCGCAAAATTGTAGATCATGCTACACCAATATAATGTTGTAATCTTTGCCAATTTGTTGTCGCTGCCTTGTTTATATGCGATCATCTTTCTCATTATGTCGTACCTAGCTTTCACTTTATCAGTCGCTTCGTAAGCTGACAACATTTACGATCGGAGAGGGGTTGAAAAAATAATACTGCGCAGGCTATTTTTTGCTTTGATTGTTCGTAAAAATCCCACTCCAGAGGCTTTTCATGTTCTTGAATGTTGTCAATTTGACAGAGCGTTCACATGTGGCCTGTACGGATGATATCGTTTTTAAATATGAATTGCGCTAGATTGCAGACATATGTTTTGTTATCGATAATACAGGTGCTTAGCCAATGCTCTGTAGAAATTCTCCTTTTTGCGTTATTGGACGTGTAGAGCACCGTGCCGACTCAAAATCCCTGCGCACGCTAAGAGCAGTTGCAGTCATGTAGCGTCTAGGCCGTGTCCAGTTATCGCGGATTGGTTGCGCATCACACTAACTGCAATGAAGAATCTGTTGTAGTGCTAATTTCAACTTAGTTAAAGTGCAAATCTATGTAATAAAAGTGATTCATTGGAGGCACCGTGCATCCGTTGAGTTTTACAAGATTTAAATATAGCGAAGACCCTAAAAAAGTTATTGCCAATCCCATTGCGAAAGCGGAGTTCCAAAGCGAGAAAATCGCTAAATGTAGGCGCAGCAGAGGCAGCTCTTCCCACCAACATGGGTGGGAAGGTTTTGGGTCTGATTGGCCAGATTACCTGGATATTCGAAATTGTGTTAGGGATTTGCTACTGTATCGCTATTATATCAACATCAACTTTAGGTTTCGATTGACGGTCCTTCAGATTTCGGGAATGATATCGAGAACCGAAAGTCCAATCTTTCTCAACTTTTATCGTACAGTCCTATATTTGTGGGCGTTTGTCTCGATACCGCTTTGCGTAGGTTGAGTGTTTGATGACTTTATATGATGCCTTTATAAACTGTTGTAGATCATTTACATAGACCCTCTTTACTTTTCTAACGAAAGACTAGGGCAACTGCTCACTTTTATCCCCTTTCCGCGGCGCGTTCGACTGCCTTGCGTTCATTTTTTCGCCACCCTGCGCCATTTACAGCTTTCGCGCCTTTTTCTTTCATCCATGCTGCGTCATTCGTTGTCGGTGGTTTTTGTTTTGTAGAAACCGATCAACGTGCGAACTTTTTCAGTCGGCGTTCGCGTTTTTACTGTCGTCATCGACGACGATTTCTGGAACGATGCGCGGCGTCGCGGCCTCCTATGACGACAAACCCCCTCCACCACCACTACGGTTTAGCAGCGGTTCAAGCGGAAAGGAGCAGTCGGTATGTTTCCTACCTAGCTTAAATTTCTTTGTTTACAACTTTCCTTGCTTTTTGCTGTTTGTTTTCGATATACATATACACATGTATAACATTTATGTTCAAGTTTCTCATGACTGTTTGACATATAGCGTCATAATCAAAATTTTGTTCCTCCATCAATCTCAACCTCTCACTTTCTTCTTACATTATTTGATTCATCGTTTGAATTATGAAACATTTTCTCCGTTGACGGAATCGCGAGGGAGCCTCTGTGAGTGTCTAGCTTTGATGTGACACTACTCTAGTTTTGAAAGAAAGTGAAGTGAATAGCATAGTACTTATACTGGACTAATATCCAATAACCAAGGATTTTGCATTTACTTCCATCAGTATTCATTGTTGTTCAACATTGCTTTGGAAAATGTACAGCCATTTCAAGTTCATCAGTTAGGTTAGCTCATACTTTTTGACATTTCGGCCTAGGGTAATAGATATAGAGCAGATCCAGTGCACAGCAGCATATTCGCGTTGAAAACTTAGGAGATTTTTGCTAAAATATCATAATGGTAGCTTTGCGGTGATAGCAAGTGCGTCTACATCATTGTCCGGATATTGCAGGTAATCCATATTTTTAACTTAACGACTGAAAAGCGTGGCACCTTTAATAAGGTTGCAATGTGCAGGGTCTCTCCAGGGTCTGTTGAGAATTTTATTGTCTTACTAGATGGCTTACCCGGCTCCGCCCGGCCCTGTCATTATTTTATTCGTAATCAGCATGCTCGATTACCCCCTGTACCAACTCCCAGCCCCGTAGCTCAAATTTTGCAAAAAATCGATAAAATCGATATCGATCGATGACGAAAAGTAGCCTATGACACCCGCCGGGGCCCAAAGTGTATGTGTGCCAAGTTTGGTCCGGATCGGTTCAGAAATGGAATTTTCTATTCGGAACATACGTACAGACAGACATACATACAGACAGACAGACAGACAGACAAACAGACATTCAGCTTTATATATAAGATAATTTTGTTTGAAGTGAACAAGTGCTTGAATCCTGAATGAAATATCAAATTTGAAATAGGCATTCTTTTTGACGGATTTATATTCATTTTGACGCAAAGAGAAACAATAATTTTTTGACTTAACGTGGATCAGTTTTTGCATGTAGTGAATATGTCAGATTAATGAGAATCAAAGAATGCAGGGTAAGATAGTAAAAAACATTCTCTGAGGTGTGCAGTCGAAATTTTTTACTCCGCGCACATTTTTTTCTCTGAAACTGACATCATCTTTCGGTTCTATCGAGCTCACTTTTTCGGTTTTTCTATGCACGTGACATCGATGGTTTTTTCTTATATTTTTCGAAAACAATAAAACTAATCCTCGAGTAAGGCTTGAAACATACCTGGCTTTAGTTACCTATACATAGCAGCGGCAGCAGCGCAATCAATGCGTACCATTGCAGCAGAGTAATGCTGCTGTCTCCTACTGCAGCAGCTAACACAAAAATTTGTTGTCCATACGCAGCGAGTCATTTTTGAGCAGCGCTGCAACTAGATTTGCACTCACTCACGTGCCCCCATTTTTCCTGAATCTATCTCCTGTTTGGAGCTGCGACAGGTGTTTTTGCTTGAACATTACTTTTTCACGTGAGCAACTCAGAAAGCAAGGTGAGACTATCAAAGACTAATGCATCACTCGGACACTGTCATTGGCGACTTTGATGAAAAAAGGAAAGAAACGAACTTTGCAAAGAATTAGGATAATTTACAGACCTGACCTGAAACATGTAATCTAATTCTTCCCTTTTTGACGTAATCAAATTTGACGATAGAGCAGTGATTTCGGATGGTTTTCTGCGCTCAACCTGCATCTAATCGTAAGAAGCGGCCGATTGCAGCGTTGATCAGCTAAGACTTCGCTATTGCGAGATTTGTCCATAACTTCTAGCAAGGTATGTTCGAACATTCTTATACCTATGCTTTTCGTTTGAAAAGGCAAGATTTTCCCTAGCTGAATTACCCGCCTTAATTTTTTGCAAACCTTTGTAGCCATACTACAAATTTTTGCTATACGTAAGGTTGCATTGCTTATTCATGTCCCTCTTCTCTATATATTGCTTGAGCGAAGGAGACATTGTTTGATGAGCAATGTTGGTGTTATACACTGCGAATGTCCCCTTGAACTGCGAATGCAGGCAAATCACCGCGCATTCAGATGGCATATTACACACTTTGATGTCAAATTGCGGGAGTGTTCTACCTTGTTCTGTGCATATGATGCCCTGCGAACTGGAACGCCACCTATGAAGTGGCATATGAGTCTTTCTCATTCATTATTTACCATGATTGAACTACTTTATCATCCAATAGCGCAAACAAACTTTCCTGTATTTGTGCTCGTATCTTTGCAAAAGTCTATACTGGTTTGCCATTATGTTTGATCTATATCGGTTAGCCATTATGGTGCGAATGCCTAGGATGATCGGTGTGCGATTAACGTCACGCACTTTCTTCTCGGACGAAGTGATAATCAAATTCGGCACCTTTCTTTCTGATTCTCCCCGATGTCAGCCTTTTCAGGTTGTTGGTCTCAAGCCGCTTCCTAAGGAGCCATCAGATTCTGGTAAAAAAAAGAAAAGCATGTCGAATCCTTTTGTCAAGAGTAAGCTCTTTGTCCTTTTTGGTGTTGTAAGGTTATCTTGCTATTTGGCACTTGCTTTTTATATGTAGCATGACGTTGTTTCCTGGCATCTCTTTTCCATTTGTAATATCATTTGAGATAAAAATCAGCAGGAATTTCGTTTTTTGTTTTTGCTGAAAATGCATAGATTTTTTAACTATGAGTCTATATTTAGAGAATCGCGAGAAAAAGGAAACTCCGGAAAAGCCGGTTATCTCAGAACCAAGTAATTTCGAGCACACTGTCCACGTTGGATATGACCCTGCTACGGGCGAGTTTACGGTGAGTTCACGAATTTGACTTAATCCCGCGGCTTGCAATCAAGAATCTGAGTTTGCATGGTTCTCTATACCTAGAGGGCTGTTCTTTGTACTCACGCAATTTTTTGATTCGGTTGTATGCATGCAACATGTTCACCGATATCTGTGAGACATAATCAAGGAGAAACTCGTCAGTTATCATGTTTCATTAACTCAAAGGTCCAATCAAAATTCTGACGCGCGTTTTGATTGGAAGTGCTCAGCCCATGTATCCGAAGTCAAGAATGGATTTACGCGAAACTTCTCTGTTTGATCATGGGGGAGCTTGCCATTTTCGTGCTTTACGGATGGATTCAAGGATTTAGCATAGCGAATAAACCCATGTAGACGAGTTAGGAGCTCATTTCCGCGGATACTACGTTCAAGTCACTGGGAATTTCTGCTTCCTTTATGCACTTCTTACTCGGGGTGCGACGGCCAATCAGTGAAGTCACTTGAAGTATCATCTTGAATAATGAAAAATAGCAGCTCATAAGCTGCTGGAGGGTTATATTGCTGATTTCTACTTGTGAGATTGGCATCTCTCCATCTCATGTTGCTTCTTCGTGATAGTAAGCGGACCTAAGCATGTGAGCTTGGTTGTGACTTATCTGATCCAGTAATCATTATACAAAGCAAAACAACAACCATTTTGTGAGGTCACAAAATTTGGCGAAGTGCTTGTGTCACCTTGATATCACCTCAAAATCTGCAGTATCTTTGGTTGTCTCTAACTAGTAACAGTGCTTGTCCAGAGCTCATTCTCTTAAGTTGCTTGGAAAAGGGGTGTTGTGTCACTCTTCTTATGCATCAGTTCCATCTCAATGTGGCTTCTGCCTATATTATATTTTGCTGATTTTGTGTAACAAAGCCATACTCTGTCAAATGTGGTAGCAAATACGCGAAATTATGTCAAAGTTTATACAGTTTACTAGGACAGCACTCCCATTTGACAACAACTTTATTGCAGGGTATGCCTTCGGCATGGGCGCGATTGCTGATGGAGTCGCAAATCTCAAAACAGGAACAGCAGCAAAATCCACAGGCTGTGCTTGACGCTCTTAAATACTACACGCAAGGCGAGAATGGCACACAACAGAAGTGGCTGCAATATGATATAAGTAAGCGGCTTTTCTCAAGACCTTTACTCTAGATTATGCCTTTAAAATCAGTTACCAGTGACTCTCATTCTGCCTTCAAAGTTATCAGCGACTATCATTCTTTTCGCGTAATCGGTATTATCACTTTGACAGAAAATCTCATCAAACATCGTTGGGCAGCGGTGCAAAAAACCTCGTAGTACGCTGGCTCGTTGAGCGCCATTGGAGTGCGATATCAAAGTTAAAGAGTGTTTCAGTGGCGGCAGTCCAAGCCCGCGTGTATGGTACTACAGGCATGGGATCGGCCCTAGGTTGTCGGCTATTGTTGCCGGAGTGGCTGAGGTTGCTGCTTAGAGGGTGCGTAACACACAAAGACTACTATGAGGTCTCAGCGACCGGTAACCACGGCAAACCTTGCAATAGTTGCCGACAACCTAGTCGTTCGCTTTAGTCTAGACTGTGACATGTTCGCTGTGTCGCTCGCACAGTCCGGCAGTTCTTCTCATTTCTCGTTTTTCAGTGGATTTTCTTTGCCAGATAAATCTTCGTAACATGAAGCAGCTTTGAAATCATCGGAATGATATCATTTATTCAAGCGATTCATGGTTCTGCGGTGCTTTGATCTGCGCGCTGGCCGTAGTCTTGCGAGTGTCATCATCAGGCAAAAACTCTACTGTAGGCAGCTAGCCGGCATATAAAAAAAGCATGTTCTGGACGAAGGATGCGAAAGCTGTGGTGCCAGTGGTTATTATACTCTATTGCGTGCATCCCATGGGCTTCAGAGATGATAGCTGCGCGACCACCGCTTTTGCGCCGCTTCACGACGAAGCATCCACCTTCTTTTGCGGTAGCATTAGGCATATCCATCGTGAACGTTCCGTCAAATAATGGGCATGTGACGGTTTGTGACGGTGACGGTGTGCACGGTTTTTTTGAATAAAAGCTTATATTCTTCAGATGATTGTTCACCTCGGCCATCGACTGGTGCGTCAATTGGGCTAAAGACTACAAGCTATAGCTCGTCCTCATTACCTCATAATTACTCTAATCCTTTTCAAACAACCAACGCTCAGCCGGTATTTTATGGTCAGTGATTTCTAGCACAAACTATGCGCTTCACTTTGTTCTCATCTGCTTAACGCACTGCTGCCATTCTTCGATTTTTGTAGGTGGAAGTACGGATTCACGATCTCCTAAGCAATCAGTAGCGCTGAGCAAGTCACCTTACAGTCAATCAAAGCCACCAGCTCCACATGGATATGGAGGTTTGAATGAAAATCGCACAAGCATGCCTCCGGTAAGTGTATTCATCTCTTGGTCTATGACGCTATATGTTGTTGTAGTGCTATACAACCTAGTTCTTGCAGAATTATGCTCCTCCACCGGTGCCTGAGGATGAGGATCCTGCAGAATGCGCAACTCCCCCACCAATTCCGGATCGTCCTGCGCGTACTCTCAGTATTGTAAGCTTTTTTTGGTTGTTAGAAGTAGTATGGTAGTAAAGCCACTATTGCGACTGCAGTACACAAAACCAAAAGAAGAGGAAGAACGTGTGCCAGATTTGTCTCAAGGACAATTTGGTGTACAGTCTAGAGGTATCGCTAAGGGGAAGAGGAAGATGACCGATGCTGAAGTAAGTTTCGCTATCCATACATAGTGTTGACTCTACAGTTGTATTGCTCCTTGATCCAGGTACTAACAAAATTGCGCTCCATTGTGACGATAGGGAATCCCGACAAAAAATACAAAAAGATCGATAAAATTGGATCAGGGTGAGTTGAAAAAATGTCACGACTTGCCAAATCTTATACGTGAGTGTTTTGGCGAACGAATATAGGGCTTTCATAAAACTATGACTACGAATTCGACTGCGGTCTTTGCACCCACCGAAATGTCACAAACGCGTAGAACACCCAAACAAGACATCAAATGGAAAACATTACTTAAGCGCCGTATTCTTGAACCTGTATCTAAAAGCCATCTCATGCAGTTGGTTCGAGCAGTGCTGGAAGGCAAAAAATACTGCTGAAATTGCGTACGTGACGCATACCGCCGCCGCCGTTTTGGTTTCATGATTGCCCTATACCCTAGGAATAGATGCTATGGTAGATTATTTGGGAAATGATTTGTTGTTTGGATTACACTGTGTGTGGATGTGATAAGCATATTACTTGGGTACTGCGTTCTATCATAGCGTGCATTTTGGGCTATAATTCCCATTCAGAGCATCTGGTTCCGTATACACTGCAATGGAAATGAGTACTGGAGCTGAAGTTGCCATAAAACAGATGAATCTCAAGGACCAACCGAAGAAAGAGCTGATTATCAATGAAATTCTGGTCATGCGTGAAAATAAACATGCAAACATTGTTAACTACTTAGATTCATATCTGGTAGGAGAAGAACTGTGGGTAAGTTATTCATCATCAAAAATCTCCAATTATTGGTCGTTGCTAAAGTTGGCTTGTGCAGGTAGTTATGGAATATCTAGCTGGCGGTTCTTTGACTGATGTTGTCACTGAATGCCAAATGGAAGAAGGCATGATTGCAGCAGTATGTAGAGAGGTGGGTTGGCGGTCATAGCTTCCGAAGGAAGGAATTCTTGCTTTCAGGTTCTTCAAGCTTTGGAGTTCTTACACAGTCGCCACGTCATTCACAGAGATATAAAATCTGACAATATCTTACTTGGAATGGATGGCTCTGTCAAATTAAGTTAGTCGTATTCGGCTATTAGTTTTGCAGTGCAGAACTCAGTTTAATTAAGTTTTCATTACGTGTGGTATTCCTTTCTCTTATAGCTGACTTTGGATTTTGTGCGCAGATTTCACCGGAGCAAAACAAAAGGACCACAATGGTTGGGACTCCTTACTGGGTAACTAATTAAACCTTAGACCTTGGTCATACGTCATGCTATCTCGGTTGTCGCGCGTTTCGTCAAGCTGCAATTGTTTGAACAGATTTGAGCGCTTTTCGATTAGGAGATAGGGAGATGTAATCACTTTGCAAAAGTTACGCACATTATGCGTTTGTTGCCTACAAATTCAGATAGTTGGAGCGTGCGGCGCACGCGTGTTTATGGTCAATGCGGCAAAGCGCGTGCCTTATTTGTGGGCGTGTCCGGCACTACGCCAAACGCGTGCCATCCTAGACATTGGTGCGTGCGGCGCGCGTATTAACGGCCAACACACCGCAACCCGCGCGCTACGTTTATGTTCGATCTTGCCACCCGCGCGCCTAATTTTGTAGCAGGCCGCGCGCATGCCTTTATACTCTACCCGTGCCACCCGCGGGCCTGCAATTATCACATGCTGTGAGCACAAGGGATACCCGCGCAGTGTACGACGCAGTGGTCAGGCTACCTCATCATTCAAGAAATTAGATATTACATCGTAGTGTATGAATAGTCGCAGAAGTGGAAGTTGTTTTTTGCTTCCAAGCGTTAGCCTTCGCTGGAATGGATGCTGGATCTGAATTCTTGGATTCAAATACGAATTCATATTTTTTTGGCATATGAAGAGTGGAATTCACTATTAACTGTGGTATACAGCGCAATGAAAAACTGAAAAAATGCAGCCATCCGCGGGCCAGCACCAGCGGCGCGGCATCTGATGTCCGCCACCCGCGCACTGGGTGTTGCGCCACCGTGTGACTGCGCGCGCGCTGCCCGCTCCAGCTGTCTGACGGCAAGTTTCAAATTTCGTGGCGGCTGAAATCACGCGAAGTATGGTCTTACACAGCGAGCTTGCCCAGTTTCTAAAATATTTTGTGTAATTTAGATGTCTCCAGAAGTTGTTACAAGGAAACAGTATGGACCAAAAGTTGATGTTTGGTCACTTGGTATTATGGCAATCGAAATGGTTGAGGGAGAGCCTCCGTATTTGAATGAGAATCCCTTGAGAGTATGTTATATGTTAGATTACAAGATTTATAAACAGTGGAGCAAAATTTATTGACCCTCTGCACAATGTTTACAAACCCATTGAATTAGGCGATTTATCTCATTGCGACAAATGGAAAGCCTGACTTCCCCGGAAGGGAGCAGTTGTCTGCATCATTCAAGGTGAGCATCTTGCATCGGTCATTAGCTGCGCATCATTTCATCGCTCCAAACGCTGTTATTCATTTGGCATTATATTTTTTCAGGATTTCATAGACTGCGCCCTAGAAGTTGTTGTGGATAACCGTTGGTCAGCCAGTCAGCTGCTCACGCATCCATTTCTTCGATGTGCAAAGCCGTTAGCGTCACTGTACTACCTCATCGTTGCTGCTAAGAAGAGCATAGCTGCGAGTTCATAGCGGTATCAGGGCTGCTTACTCTTTGGTTCACGGTTATCTGGTAGGATGGAGCGTAAGGAACTATTTCCAAGTTCCTCTCTGCTTGTCTATGTATTATCAATGACTGTAGTCAGCTCTTGAGCTCTCTCATCATTCTCCTTATTATACAGCGTAGTTATATTCGGAACGTGGAGTATAGAGCTATTTTTCTCATCGTTTGCCTTGCCCGTGCCGTTTTGTTTTTGTTTGTGTTCATCTTGGTCATTCTATATTCCCGTACATGGTATGAACCAACGGGTGGTGCTTCCGCTTTTCTGATGCTTCATTGTCGATATGTTGATTTTAATCAATGCTTGATGTTCGTCCTTTATCAAGTCCTGCGCGGGCTACTTTTTGAAACAGAGTTAATAAGTGCGATATTTGGCGTTAACCTGTTTTGGTCAGTTCTGCTTGGTTAGTATAACGAGAGGCCTCTGAAATTTCTTAGTCCGTACTATGCTTACTTGATCCATGCGCCGAAAGCCGTCTTGAGTTAGCTGTCAGTATCGTAGTACATTCTTTAGATACTCAGGCTCTTCGGTTCACGGGGAGAGGTGAGGGACCAATTATTCCTCCCACATCTGAGTAGGGCAACTTGAAAAGTTTGTCATTTTCTGTTGCGAATCTGCTCACAGCTTTCTCTTGCCAAGATCGCCATCTACAAATGCCTTACGCTTTGCAGTTTTAGTGCTTTTTCAGAAATCTCATCACCTTCAAAACTATCAGTCTGCATTGGCACGCAATTTGATACATTTTGATACGTTGATGAAGCGCTTCTTCCACCATTATTTGATATATGAAAAATAGACATAGTAATTTGCTTAACACTTTGCTCCATTTATTTTACGGTTTTCACTTGAGTGCGTTTAAAGAGTGTGTCTGTTTGTTAAATATCGTTCTTGAAATTTTTTCTTGTATAGAAATGATTTTCAATTCAGATTCACTTAATTTGTTTTTGTTAGTATCTGCTAGTCAGGGGTTGAGTTTTCTTTTGAGGCCCATCTATTGCAGTTGTTATGCTGAAAGACTTGAGTATGCTGTTTTGAATTATTTCTATGATGTGTTTGTACTATTCAATTATACGGAATCTCCAGGCTAGAGGTCAAAATAAAAATAAAGACGTCTTCTGTTCGCTTATTGTAAGCTCACGGCTGCCGCTTCTTGCTTATTCTCGTTAGTGGAAGTAGCTGTTCTTATGGTAAATGGTCTTTCGAGTAGCAATGAAGAGAATCTCCACAAGTCTGCTCCCGCTCGATCAGAACGGTTACGAAAAAGTGGAGGAGCTTCACTTTTGTCATACGTAATTTGCGGTAAATGCCTTTGTTGCCACAATAATTTGGCCGGGGCGTAACAAGTCAGTATGAACTTGATCCTCATCATCTACGTAGAAGGTTCAATGGAGCATGGCACTGCTATCAATCAATTTAAAATATAAAATATGGCTTTTAAGTAAGACGGATTGGAGCCTAATACGGGCGTCATCGAACGAGGTTGGCAAAAGCCCTAGCATTCGTGGCATTGAAACGAACGTGCGAGTAACAGATCACTAGTGCGAGTAACAGATCACTTTCGAGTGGCACGCTTTGGTGGTAGTACCTAGGCGATATGGCAAATCCACTCGTACCTAGGCGTTCATTACACTACCGACCGCCTCCACTTCCTCCGTGTTTGAGCATATGAATGTAACATGCAAGATAAAAGCTTTTAATAATGTAAAGATGCGGCATATTCAAGAAAAGTAGAACGAGTAGATATAAGATCTGGTAATTCACGTAGATACACAACTTATGATTTTTATCCAGCAGGAGATTTGCAACAATGCGAAATAGAAAGCTAGATAAATATCAAATAAATTTCATATTGCATGTAAACTTAGTTTCCTGATCAAGAAACTAGCATAGGATTGATAAAGACAGAGCGTTTTGAGCCGAAAAATTCAGAACAGTAGTATTTTTAAGGTGTACAAAAATGTATTTAAAAAGTCAGCCATTGTTGTATGATTTCTTTGAAGATAGAATGGTAGATAGATTCAGCTCGCCAAAAATCTGAAAAAAGTAAAAGAGGGAGGGAAGAATTGAAGTAAGCAGCTTCGCTTCGCTCTACTCTACAAGAAAAAACTCACTGAGTTTTCAAGAAGATACACGGCAGCGCTGCAGTCGAGAGTAGGGTCGACTGGTATTGACATACAATTAAAGAATGAAATGTATTAGACCCAGTGAGCAGAGGACCCTCCCTAAGTGTAGTTAAAATTAATATCAGATCAAAAATTAATAAAAAAATTTTGTATAAAATTCAGAAAAAAGGGCAAATACACATCCACACCATCGATAGAGTTCTGGAACGTCTGTTCGCGCTCAAAGTCGAACAATCAGCAAATCCGATAGATGTCATGCAAATCAAACATGATCCCAACATAGAAGATGCTCGTTTACATAGTCGTAGTAGCTGTTCATATATTTGCCTCGTTCTCTTGTAATTTTGGTAATCTAAGCCTTCTTCTTATAAAAGGCACAATGCTCATCAACCCTTGCTCCTCTGGATGGCTAACTTGATCTCCACGCTCATCGATACACTCTATTCTTCCGAAGACATTTTTTCCCTTTGAACTGCATTAATTATATTGCTTCCCTTTGAGATGCATTAATTTTATTCGCTGAGTTGTGTCTGATCTCGAGTGTGTAGTGTGGTTCGTACTTCGAAGAACAGTAAAATTGATCTCGGGAAAAATTGCCAAGTTGATGGAGCAAGACCAGATTTTTTAACAGTATTTGTAGCTTTCCATGTGCCGCATTGCAAAAGCTTATGTTGATTTGCTCATATGTGGACTGTGTTCCATTCGTAAACCATGAGCAGCCTGCCTACAAAAGACACACTTCTGTGCGTCTTGAATCTTTTGTAGGCTATGAGCATAGTAGTGTGGTCCGAAATTTTTTTCGAGCGAAGGGGGCGATAAACGAAAAAATTTCTGAGTGAGAGTGCCTGACGATAGTGACGCTCTTCAAAAACTTTTTTGAGATCCTTTCCAACAGTAGGATAGTAGATCGGATTTTGCCCCTGAACGAATATTTATGCCTAAAATGCCGGAATTTTGCTCGCGCAATTTGTCGGTTTTACAGGCGTAGTACAGTCATATATGGTGTACAGCTAATATATGTATATTTTGTTCGTGCGCAGATTCTGCTGCACACTTCCGGCATCCAAGGATCTGTAATCATCGTCACTTCTGTCAACCTATACACGAACTTCTTGTGACTGAGCTTTGGCTAGATATTTTAAACTACTCAAAAAATCCAAAGGCTCTTGTACAACATAGATGCAATCTACATCGTTTCTGCAGAAATGGACACTTTTCCAGTTAGGTGGCCAAAAATTGGGTTGATGAAAAACTAGTGGCCGCTTTTTAAGCACCTTCAAGAGAACTTTTTCCAACAAAATTTCCTTTTGAAATAGATACAACATACCATTAGAAAGCACTTTAAGCACTATCTAATGATGGCTGAGGCGGGTTTCCAGCCTCATCTGTTAAAAAGTTACAGAGTAATAACCGCATTTTAGATTAGAACTTCACTGCATTCACAATTTGGCCGAAATTCAAAGGCGAACGGCACTATTTTTTAAGCTATATGATCACCGAATTGCAAGTCGCTTTTGGCATGGAAGACAATCTCGCGAGTTGTGGTTTTGAGTGTAAAATGTTATGAATCGAAAGAGCTCTGGCGCTCACGATGTTGTCATGGCATTTCTGACATCTGAGTCGCCCTTCGCAATGCCAGTGATTTATTAATTGCTCAGCATGTTGCACCAACTACGCTTGAACCTGATAATTGTTTTGACGTGCTATAGATCACTTTCCGGACTCGCAGATTGAAACAGTATCTTTCTCAGTTTGAAACCTGTAATTACTGCACTTATGAGACCTTATCCATGTATTTTTGATAATAAAATACATTTTCTCAAAACGGCGGCTTTCGGCCTTGAAGCACTTTCTTGCCTTTGTGTTCTCGTTGATTTCTTGTAGTAACCCGCAAACATTTTTGTCGTTTAGTACTTTTTAGGCAACTACTTATTTTGAGATTGATATTGCTGCCTCTCTGCCATTGTTCGGAACCTTTTTCAAGTACATGATAAAGGATGCATGTGAGTTATTATTACTGTTATGCTTAGTTAGCAAATAAAATCAAAGCTCTTTGTCGAATTCTAATTTGTGAAATAACGCCATGGACTGTATAGAATGTTTTTTTTATATATCACACACAGTACTCTGCTGTGGCAGTTCCTCTCTATAGTGACGTGTTATTTACCCTCACTTGTGTCACAATCTCATTCCTTTTTTCGAGGAAAACGGACTGAGAATGACCTGTGCAGCAAAGCGGACTCCATGAAATCTTCCTCGTTTTGCTTTCTCTTTTTGTCACTAGTCTTATCACTTCAAAAGTCTAGCTTTCTGCTGTATTTGAATGAACAAGTTTGCACAGTCATTGACTTGAGATATCACCAAAATATGAGAGATTAGAATTGAAAGTATAATCTTATTAAAGTTTGTCAATGTCCATCTATAGACTTAAGTTCTTGATACCACCTCTTGAAGGCAATTTCTCATCAAAATTTCGTTCTCGGGATTTGTGCGCTATATAGGCCTTTCGACCTTGTGTAACTCTTCATGGATTCAAATTTGCATAAAAATCTGAAAACGCTGTTTTAGTCGAACGAGATGTGCCCCTGAGCTGAGCCGCCACCGCAGGGTTGAACAAATCAAATGAGCAGAGCCCTAGGAAGACGAATTGAACGCGCGTGGTCCGAAACATGTTAAGAGCTTTTCTGTCCAGGATTAGGAGAACCCCTCAGTCAATGAGACCTGTATCTTATCAACGTAATTCTTTAGGATCAATTAGTAAGTGAGAATCGTCTTTTGCGCGTAGAAGCTCTAGTTTTCCTGAATGGACTGAATTCTTCGTCGTTTATTGTGCTGAAACAGAAAATAACAGAAATAGCCGCGTATAATGTTTTCTTCCATAGGAGATAATCCGCTGAAACTTGCCGCAACAAACGATTGCAAAACCACCGCATTTCGCCTGAGCATGTGGGCGAATGCCTAAACTAAGAGTCCAGCTGCGCCCGTCGCCAGCCAACAACAAACAGATAGAATTTCGAGGTTTCATTAGGCATCACTAACGCCTCTCATGAGTTGTCGAAATGTGGTTGTTAGCAATAGCCCCATTCCCTGCTGCACTTTTCTTTTATGCCAACAATAAGGATTCAAAATACTGTTTCAATTCTTGTCTCTAATAGGACATTTCGGAGGATTATCGATTCTGCGGGCCTACTTACGTTGATGAGCACCAACGATTCCATTCATATCCGCTTGTTTTTAACCATCTAATCGGCGATGAATAATAGCCAGGGTGATTTATAACCACCAATCAGAGCCTCTTTTGCGCAATCACCAGCATAGAAGCAAGTAAAGCAGGAAATAAAGGGAACGGATGCTCAACAGTTGAACATGTTTCTATGGTGAAATCTTATTGGGAGCTTGCATCGATTTCTGTGTGAGCACAGGAACGCCATAGGGCTATTGTTCTCCTAACAGAGTCGCTTGCCTGATTGGGAATGCTAGGATTGAAGGAATTTGCGCTTTCAACGAGTTTCCAATCGACCACTGCTGCCATCTCTTGAATAGTCATTTTATTTGCAGATTCAAGCTGAAAATTTCAGTAGTTTTTCTGATGCTTACCATAGATTCTAACAGCATAGCAGTCTGAGAGCTATGAAAATTGCACGGTTTATACCTAGAGTCGCAGACTATGGGTTGGCTAACAGAAACTAAAGCGGCTTCATTTCTCTTTGCTAAATTGCGCAGTACTTTCTGGATTCTGTGGATTACATTATGTGCAACATATTCCACCACACATTGGAAGATAGGCCACATTGTGGGACTAGGTGACCTAAAGAAAGATTGTGACAAAGCACAGGAATTTAATAAGCTGACTATGCTTATGCATGTTGTGCATTGCCCTCATGGCGCACTATTAGTGTATTTTGCTGTACTACCGTTGGAGATTATGAAGAACAGGTCCGACCTGGCAGCTTACTGAGGTTATGTCAGTACAAGGGCATCAGCTGGTAATTTTCGCCGAACCAGAGTATTTTTGTCGTATTTTGAGCAAACTGAAATGCGAACAAATTTCCCAGGGCTCGCACTAACGCTAGATTTCGATTTCGCGGCAGTAGAAACTTTAATTGGGGTATGCGGCGGTACATTTGGAATAACAATCAGTTAGAAAAAGTATGCGTGTTCAGCTACAACACTCTTGAAAGTGGTCAGTGTTGTATGTCCAATCTCAGTGTGAATTCATGACATCATGCAATTGCGTAGACCTAAGATATTCATCTATTTACCTTGCTCATAGAGAGCTTTGCAAGCCATGTGATGAATGCTTTCTATATTTTGTGTTGCCTGTTTCTGTCTTACGTCTGACAACATCTCCAAGCTATCTCTTTGTCTTCTATCAAATCTAATATAATCTGATACCGCTAGTCATGGAGCTAGTGCTTGCAGTCCTAACCAGCTTTATGAGCTTTTTTCATATTTGACGTTACAATCTAATAAAAACCTACGATGTCTGATAGAGCAGCATCGATCCATCAGGTGCTGAACACCCCATTTTTTGTGTTATAGCGAATGCATTGCTTTATATGCGAATTATTATACAGGTACTACCATATTAGTTATCTCTGTTTCCAAGTAGAATTTAAAGCAATATGTTTTCGGAAAATTGAACGTCTCCGTTGTAATTTACTAAGTAGCAGCTGTAGTCTTGTATCTGTATGATCGATCATTGCTTTACTTTGATATCAGCATCGAAATGTTATTCTACCTGTAACCGATACCTATTAGCGGGCAGTAAGTTTACTCATTCCTTCGAACTTGTTAACATCAGCATACAATGAGTGCATCACCTCTGTAATGTACTTATTATGTAATGAGCTCAAAATTATTGTGAACACAATGAATAATGAAGATGTCCTTTTTCACCTGCATGAGCTTGAAATGGTGTTCAAGATGTTCTATTATCGGCTAACATGCTCTTTGCCTTTGTACTCATATCAAAAACAGGGTATTTCAGAGTTTAGACCCTACTCTTAGAGCCACATTTTATTTGTATAAGATACCTAACAGGATCCGTAGCTGCGGGATTTTATTCTTTTATAGGCTTCCATTATCGTTCGATGGAGCAAAGCAAGCAAGATAGTCACCTATTTGATCAAAGTGATTCACATAAATTTCAAGGTCAAAATCATTTTTTGATATTGTTTATGATGAGAATCAATTCAAGAAGTTTTGATGTGCTTTTCGATTGCTGTATGAAGTCAGAACGAAAACTTGAGCTAAATGCAAAAGTGTGTCCTTTTTTGCTATTTTATGCTAATTTGGCTGATTCTGACAGACTACACATGCAAGGGCCTAAAGTCCAAGAAGGGCAGTATGCAGAGGCTATGTGGGAAGAAATTCTATTACGTTTGACATTTTCCGCCAGTTTTTACTAACTATATATAAGAACGTCTGTCTATTTAGAATTGCAAATATAAGTTGAACGCCCATAGGATCTTTCTTCTGGAGCAAGGAGTTTTGGTGCAGTTATATGTGTTCACATGGGTTAGGACTTGTGTGAATGTTTTGGACATCTTGTAATTCCTATGCTTTATCAAATAATAGCGCAAGCTCACGAGGACCATTTTCTTTCGAACCGAAATTTTGAAAAATAAAAAAAAAAATACAAAAACACGATAATTTGTGTCATGACTCAGTTCTTTACCTTGGTCTCTGCAGTATCAAAAGCATGAATGCTAATGGAGATCACCAAAGGAGCAACTGCTAGCGTGCCATTCTTATTAGAGGAATCAAGTCATTAGTCAGTGTTTTTAACTACTAAGCGCGATGTGTTTTCCAATTGTTTGCCCTTTATTTCCACCTGCGAAAGCCATTGTAAAACCCGCCTTGTCTCTAACTTCCGTTTTCATTTGGCTTGACCACGTACATTGTAGCTGGTTCTATCTTAAAAAATATATATACCTTACATAACGTTCTTATTTTATCGCGTAGTAGCTTTCTATGTATTTTGGTCACCGCATGTTTGTGCAGACTTGCCTCTTCTTATTCCACTATGGCTTCTACGAATGCTGCTAATCGGAACTAAGCAACCACTCTAGGGTTGATCACCGTATACTGATACGGAAGGGTAGGCCAGCGAAAATTGAACACATTTGCACAATTTAGTATCGTTGACTTTCTTCGCTCTTTCCAGTTGTCCATTTCGTTTGCTTGAATTCCACTGCAGGGGCATCACCCGTTCTGTGAGCCCATATAGGAAATATGTCTTGTCGGCCTACTTACATGACTGCTTCTTTGTTGTTTTTTTGGCATAATGCTTTTGCTTGGGAGCGAAATTTGGGCTGCACTTGCTCTTCTAGTGCCGAGCATCCCTTTTGCAAATTTACTTTTTTGTAAACAACTGCTTTAACTGCGTTCAAACGCTTTGTGCTTTTTCTCATTCACCTCCATCTCGGCGTTGCAAATGTTGTCTACATTGTGAACAAAATTAATTTCTCATGTTAGTAGAATGCTTTTGCTATCGCTGCTTCTTGCTGAGTAACCAGTATAGATTAATTTGTGCTTTTACTTTGAGTTTTAAATTATATGCAGAGCTCTCGATTGCGTTTGCTATGTTGCTTTACTGAAAAAGAGCGCACAACATAGACGAGACGGATTTTACGAGCTGTAGTCAATGTGAGAACTTGCCGAGGATTTCACCTGCTCAACCAATACATTCATGCCTTCTCTCCGTAAGCATTACTCTGTAAAGGGAAAAGCGATAAGTGACTCCTGTGACTTCTTTCAGAAATCAATGCAAGAAGATTTATCGAGTTCCACTCTTGATTTTATATATCTGCACTCATGAATGGGTGGCCTGATACTAACAAACCGCTAGAATTAGACTTTTGTGAGTGTGGCATTTGTAAATCTTGCACTGTTAAGACATCCAAGCATACAATTTACTTTGCCACTACAATGATTGTTCCTAAAACATCGCTGCAAAAATTAAATGTGCTTACGGCTCTTTTAATCGCTGATCACTTCTGATATGATATAGTCGGAAATAAAATGCATATCTCATCTCTAAGCAGGGTATGCATGTGTGCTAGTGGGGGCAAAAAGTCTGCTGCTTTTTCATCGTTAAGTAGAATGTTCGTACCAATTTACTTGCATTATCGACCTCTCATCCTCAGCTTTCACGCACATTCAACCATATGGTGCATCTTACAGCATAACCAAAGTCACTACTACTTACACTAATTATAACTTGCGATGATCTTGAACATCTTATTGATTTGATGTTCTGCTAAATAAAATAGAAATCCTCTGCATACAGAGTCATTTTGATTCTTAATTATATGTAGTCTACATACTTCGAATAAGGCGGCGAACTGTAGGACTGCTGATAAAAACTGATTTCTGAAAGCAGGACGCTTCTGACTGTGATTTTCTCTCTCCCGTTCCGCTAATTTTTCAATCTTACATATAGTTCTGTGGCATTGTCCTCAAAACGCATTCCCCATCCATTGTCTGTTTTTCACGGCTAAATCGCTCGGTCCTTTTTTCGTACCTTTATGGTTTTCCACGCTGTCATGCCCATCGATATTTTCGGTGATTGTATACTCTAAAAATGAACACCATTTTGATCACAAATACGAAATCTCACGGCAAGGTTCGCACACACGTCTCAGTAATTAAGCTCGAAGACTGTGGGAGTGTTATCGTCTGCACATACGATACTCCTAACAACCTTTGCAAAATTATCGTATTTTTGATTTGAGTCGAGGGACGGTCACTCGAATCGAGTTCAACACGCGATAATTTTGCAAAAATTAGGAGCGGTATTGTACCGTAATCGCCCTTGTGTGTTATGCAATGAATGAAGCATGTGAGTGATCCCTTTGCACATCATATGCAAGGATCGAGCGCCTTCACAATAATTCGATGTTTGCTTTCATATCAGTGATACCTACATAGTAGTAACCGTAACGACTACTTATCATCAAATATGGAGCTGAATTGTTTCTGTGAGCATAATGCCTAAGCGTTTCAGCTACACAGATGTAAGAGGAAGTGAGTAATGCATGCCATGGATGAGATCGCCCTTGTTACGACAGGTACCTTGATAATCTGTACAAGATAGTACTGCGGTTAATATCTGCAGAGGGAGTTTCGGCAAATCGAGTGGATGACCCTGCGCATGTGGTCACTGCCCGTCCGGATTCGAAAAAGGCTAAATTAGCCAAAAAATATCAGAAAACGCCTTTAGCCTTTTACCAGGTAAATTGGTCGTTCTCATCGAGGTTTTCTTCAGAAACTCATTTAGGCTCTAGCCTTAGGAGCACTTTTGCTTATACTTATACTCGTCTGCGTTGCTGTTGAAACATGGAGGTAAGGTTCTTAACTAATACATTAAAAGAAGAAAACGTCTTCAAGGGCTTGCCACTTGCGCTAGACTACCTGCGGCACCCACAACTGACCTTAATTTTTTATCTCTCACTGGCAATCTTTTAGGAATACTAGTCGAATCAATGATAGTACGAAACCACATTCAAAAGAGGATGAAGCATATCATCTTCTGATAGTTGAACAAGTTAACAGCCAGAACAATGCCACTTGGAAGGTAGGACTTCGATTCATGCAATACTTTTACTGCTACACATACGGTTACCGGTTGAATTTCTGGGGAAGTTGTTTCTCCTGAATTCTAGACCGAAGTAAGCAGGTGGCTGCTAACTCAGAAGCAATGCAAATTAGGGATGTGTCTTTCTAGACTAGCTGTTTATTTTAATTGCCGGTCGCGGCTGAAATCTTCTTAGGTTGTTTTGTTTGCATCCGTTCTTGATGAAAATCCAGAAAGCAAGTGTACGAATATTGTCCTTGCATTTGCTGCGCATGTGCACGGCTTATCAACTACAGTGTCGGGAGCACCAGCATCTCCGCTCCCGCGCGACAGCTTCGCGTGGACTCTGTACCTCTTTCGTAAACATTCTCTCTGATCACTCTCCCCAGCGAACGTAGGGAAGGCGAACCCAACCGATTTGATATGATTAGAGACATGTTCGCAGGAAAGGTGCAGAGTGGCACGCAGGAGCAGAGATGCTGGTGCACCCGACACTGCAATTGATATGCCCTGTAGATGGTCAGCGTATTTGAGCGCTTTTGTTCTTCTAACAGTCACTCTGATTTGATCTTTTTTGTACACGAGCTTTTCTTTCATTCAAACACAGGTTAAATCCAGCTTCCTTTTTCAGAAATGTGTGTGCTATCACGTGTAGAAAAATTGCGACGTTATTTGCCATGTGAATCTTATATCGGAACTTCTTGACATCCTCTTAGTCATGTAGCAGCTTTTACAAACACAATTTCCTTCATCATAAATGATGCAAAACCACTTTTCTAATGTCAGATTCCGAGTTTTGTTATGAATACTGTAGCTGGCGAGTGACTAAAGTGCATTCAGAGAGTGCGCGAAGTACGATACGAAGTCGACGTTCGTCTTGACTTCTGCTGATGAAATAATCAGTGAAAGTATTCATAAAAAAGACATTATCAACTCATTATGAAGTGCATACAGGTGCTTCTCTGTAGGCATCATGAGGCAAGAATATGAAAATCACTGCCACGCTATTTTTATCATCGCGAATGATGTTAGAGAGGCGAGTCTTACGATACGCAAATTTGGGAATCGTAGACTCGCCATTTAGAGTGGTCCACGATCATAGAAATTTGATTCCGGTTATTTAGAATAGAGTTCATCATAGCACTTAGTCTATGTATCCATATGACACAGTAAGGTACAAGAATTGTGTTTTTCCAGTTCTCACCTCTTCAAGCCATCCCAGTGCTCTTGTTTCTGCTAGAGTACATCATTTCATAATAAGAGTGCTCAAAACGTGTTTTAGAAATAAATATTATCGTTTTTGAGGCAAGATACAACAAATTCGCTTCACGCGCCGAAGAGGCGTCGGCAACGGGTGGTGACACGGATACCGCCAGATTGATCATGAAGGAGTTTTTCAATGTCGACGATAGCCAGCTTCTTCAGGACACTGTAACACATGTCGACGATCTGAAGAAGTATGTCATCCAATTCCAGAAACCGAATGCTTCAAATAGGAATGCAGATTTGCTTTAGAGTGCACAAGGCTATCCCAAAGACATTCGATGTTCGACGAGCTTGGCCTCAGTGCTGGGCTGTGCATCAGATATTCAATCAAGCCGGTTGTGGTTCATGCTGGGTTTGTTCTCTTAGTGGAAGCGAAATCTCAGGGCTGAGAAGATCAAATGCTTTAGTCTGTCGCCGCCACTTCAGTGATGTCGGATCGGGTATGTATTAGCTCAAATGGTACAGTCCAAACACAAATCAGCGCTTTGGACCTTACCTCATGTTGTTTGTCTTGTGGAGGGTAAGCCCTTTTGAATAAAATCCGAGGCCGATTCATGATGCCACGATTTGCAGATGTCAAGGGACACACTGGGCCTTGTCCGCCTTCACTTATTGGAAAGAGCATGGTATTGTTTCAGGTGAAGAAAAGCTCATTTCCAACCTTGTGCTCAATTCAAAGTTAATTAGAAGTCAATAGCTCGGTTTAGGTGGCGCCTTCGGCTCACACGAGGGCTGTCGACCTTATACATTTGAGCCCAGCTGTGGAGCGCCTTGCGGATCATCCTTGTACCGAAAGGAACGTACTCCGCGATGCGAGCGACAATGTCAAAGTCTTTTTCATAGGGCTTACGATCAGGATTTGGTACGAGGTTAGCAGGGCACGGAACTGATGTTAAAGAGAAACGTCTTTAACACGAAGACATCGAAATCACGCAGAATCTGAATTTGTTTCAAGTTCAATTGATATTCGTTATTCATAACGATTACTAGAGAAGTAGCAATCATAAGTTGACTGCAGCCCAAAATGACAATTCTCATACTTTTGAGAAAATGATGATAAGATTAAGGCCCATCAACTTCTGCTCTAGATCAGTGATTTCACTTGAACGTAAGTGACGTAAAGGCAACACCATACATTCCTAAGAAAGTTTAGGCTGCTGCATGACGAAGGCGCTGTTTCTTTGGGCGCGAACGCGGTTTCATTAGCCGCAAAGCGCGAATGGGGCGCAGGATAACGGTGAAGATACACGCCGCAGAGTTCGTGTCCGCTCAACTAATAATAATTCTGCACTTGGTCATGCAGCAGCCTTTAGCTATGCTCCCTGCTAGCTGCGCCCACGTAACATCGGAGTCATTTCCCTTTTCCCTCCCGTTATCGACCCAACAGCCATTTTGAGAACTAGATATGAAGCTGTATGACGATCCCGTATGACACAACCTATACAAACACTTATTGCTTATCTTCTCCATAATGCAACGACTTATAGAATGCGCGACCTCTGGCTTCCTCATCCTTAGTGTTTGCATGAAGTTCACCTGCTTGAGATATGCAAATCGGCGTTTTAGAGCGATGCGCAACAGAAATTTGTGATATTACTCTACTCTGGCTCATCTGAGCTATCATATTCAATATCAAAACAATAGTAAGAGAAGTGGAAGATAGTTGCACATTAGAATTAGTCTTGAACCAATCAATCTGGATTCGCAACTTCGCTATGGTGCAAATTAGTCACTTAACGAACGTCCATTCCTCCCTGACAGTGGGTGCGTAAGGCCCCGGGCAGACTTCACGCGATTTGATCGTCGCGACTGAATCGCGACGAGACAACTGTTACAACATCATCCCATGCCGATCAACTTGCATTCGGTCGTGATACTTTTCCAGCCCGAAATTTTTGAATGTGAAATGAAAATGAATGGAAATCTTGGCGATTAGATCGCGACGATTAAGTCGCGTGAAGCCTGTCCGGGGCCTAAAGTTACCCTTACACTACTGAATTGTTGGGAAGAATTCTGTAGTATTTGTCCAAACTATCTATCTAAAATGTGCATCAACTTGACATTTTATTAGCATTATCCGCACTGCTAGGAAGTATTTTCCAGCTCGAAAAGCCTACTGGTTGAGGGCTGTAAATGGTTATGCGGAATATGCTCCCGTTGTGAAAGCCACATTACAAAGGCTTGTCGATGGTATGTGTGCTGTCGAAAGTTCTTATTTATTTCTACTATTCAATAACCTCTCACTACAGGGAACATAACTGAGATCCTACAAAAAGAGTTGATGACGTATGGACCAGTGCTTGCTTGTTTCACACTACGGGAAGATTTTCAGCATTATATGTCTGGTAGGTACACTTCCAACGAACAAGCTTCTTTGATCGTGAGCAATGTTGTTACAGGTGTCTACAAAACTGATGAAGTCCGATCTGAACACCTATATGGACACTGCGCAAAATTGATGGGGTGGGGGGAAGATAACGGGGTGAAGTTTTGGCTTTACGCCAACACGTGGGGTCGCGATTGGGGAGAAAATGGTGAGCTTCACGGAATATGGTAGAGTTGCAAACGTTTTCTCATTCCTTTGTCACTATTGCAAGAACATTTGGAAACAGTTTAGCTTGTCGATAGTGGAAAATTAGAGCAGACTTTGCAACCTGAGGGCAGACTTTCCATTAAGCACACGTCTCGTCTCTTTCTAGGCTCTTTCAGTAGCATAAACTTGACATCAGTTGAAATTGCTGAAGAGCCTTCTATTTGTTTAGGATTCTTCCGAGTTGACATGGACGAAGTTCCGGAAGAAGTTGTTGCAGGCATCGTGTAAATGGAAATTGTTTTCCAAAAATGATTTGTGTGATTCGGAAGAGCTTTTAAACATATCTTCTGTTGGTGATTGTACGAATATCGAGTTCTATACCTTGACTACAGCGACTTTTTTATCTGTCACTTCCCCATCTGAGATATCCAGGAAACGATGATCTAAACGTTATATATTCACTCAGTCGATCGCTGTGCAACGGAAGTATCTCTGTGCCTTTCTACCACTGAATCGCGAAACCTGCACAGAGAGTCAATCCATACAGTCTATTGTAAATGGTTTTACAATTTATCCTATCAGTTTCGTAATAATACAGATGTTATGAGATAATGAATGTTTTTTTGATAACAAAAATCCTTTCAAATGCAGGAAGCTTACGAGCAAAGCAAACTGTTCTGACGGAATCACTTCCTAAATCAATTACCATACAGTCCTATTTCGTGCAAAGCACATAATCTCAATTCAAACATTGGGATACACTGAACTCTTCGACAAGCCTTTTGTAAGGCAATATAAAATATCAACTATTATAGGCGAACTCGGGAGGATGATGATGTGCTATACAGATTGTTCCATATAAATGTTTACTCACCCTTTTAGTTTACAAAGAAATATTAACTTTCTGTTGAAGACATAATGTCACCCGAAAAATGTATGCAAGTGCAAATAACACAAAAAAGTATTTGCTGACAGAACAGAAATCAACCAATCACCGAAAATTGCAATGGCTCCTAGGAAGAGAACGTATTGGTGCAGATTCCCTCTATTCTATTCTACATGCAACAAAAATCAATACAATACAAAATCCTCACCGGGGCCACGTATGACGTAAAGTGAAACAGAAACATACTATACTTAACTTAAAAACTTATATAAACACCTAACAATCATAGATGCACTGGAAACAGGCATTGATACGTACCAAAATTTGGTTTATAGCCGTATACTATGATAAAGTATCAGCCAGTGTCACCTTTTGGAAGCCTGCTCCTTGGGGATCAATGCTAGCCGCACCATCTCGATCCACGTACAACGCCAGACCTTCCTCTGAGGTGCTTGTCTCACTCTGGGTCGTCCATCGTGTCTCAGCTAGCATCCGGTCTATCACCCCACCAGCATCGATCCTGCAGCAAAGTGATGGAATTCTTGAAACCTACAGCAGTCCAAAACTACGCTTGAAACGTGGGCATGGATCGTTGCGTGAATACTTCACATTCTCTTCTTAGATCCTTTCTCCCTCGAACCAACTAGTGATAAAAGTTAGCGAAATCCAACCTTGTACTCTGGATGCGAGGAGCGCTTGATCGATCCTGGCTAAGCCTTCGCAACGCAGATGAAGGGGGATTCCGTCGATTGTCTGATGACAAGGAGGCGCATTCATCGGCTCCAGAACCGGAACCGGCGACGGAGCTGCACTCTAAAATATTACACCTGAGCCAGGCTTCCAGCAGTGAAAGCATTAGTTTGAAAGAAGGAGCGGGTATTTAGGATAGCAATAGTTTAAGCTTCAAGCAACAGTATACTGGTGCAAATAGATGGATAAACAGTAGGAGATAACCAAACAAATGATTTCCAACTGAGTCTGAGACAAGGCACATAACAGCACTGGGACGGAACATGATGAACAGAATTTCGTCACACACTGCTTGAGACATCAACCCCGGATGGAAAACACGACTTATCAGTGCTCAACGTAATTGAAATTGAGACTGGAGAACCTTCTAACGAAGATATCATAAGCAAAGCTTGCAAATGTTGCATTCGCTTGAGTACAAAAGTAGAAAAAATAGGAACACATGCATGCACTACGAAGCACTGCGAAGCCAAAAATAATATAACCGCAGACATGGATGAAACAAGCAGATTCATACAATTTTAGAATCAATTAGCTAACCGGGAACGTCGACTGTTGAGTTTGGCCGTATTTTTACAATGGAAGTCGCTTCTTCATCGTCCTCTTCCTCTACATCTGACGCTTTCAGGTATGGGTTTAAAGAATTGTCCTCTATAGTGTCTCCTCCGCCGATGAATGGCCTGAACTCAAGTAAGTTATGAGCTTAAGTTCTACATTGGATTTGGAAAAAGCACTCACACTCGGAAAAAAGGATCTGCGCTCTGATGTGTCATGGTCACCTTGATTTGGACTTTAGAATTGTCCTGACGTTGATTTAACCCGTATCCATCAAGAAGATAAGACCTAGTCATTCCTAAATTGCAAATGATGCGCATGTTATATGCTAAAATGAAAAGTACTAAAGAGTTCTCTTGGGACATAATCTGACTATCCAGCCAGAAGATCATAGATACGATTACTAATTTGCTATCATTAACGATGGTTTATAATTTTTGCTAAGCTATATGTTGTCGAGTAATGTGCACAAGTTTGGGTATAGACAGAGCGTGAAAAGTAGACAATTGGAGAGAATGATGATAACAAGTCTTGTTTAGAATTTGTCACGGAATTATTCTTAACGAGTTAATTAGTTTCTCAAAGTAAAGAAAGAAGTTCAGAACTATATGGTAACAAATTAGCTGTCTGAAGATGACAACACTCGGACCTCACCACGTATATCCTCGCCAAGGAGGGGAAGAGAACTTCAAGGAGGAATTATATACGATGCAGCGAGCTTTTCTTCCCCATAAGCATAATTGCAAACGGCTGCATAACACTGTGATTTTGAAATCTCCTACTCAGGGAGCTCGGGATTGCCACATCTTCACTTGGAGTCATCTATGTTTCGTCGAATCCAAAATTGTCTCGAAATGTGCCCAGAATTTAATCTTACACTGAAAACCACATCTGTGATAAACATGTATGATAATGAAGTTATGATTACGATATTCTACTTGTCTCCTAGAAATATAAATGACTTTGAAGAAAACATGGTAATCCCCTATGGATCGCGCAGAGATACAGCAACATGAGGCAACTTTCATGGCTATGCGTTTGTTCATTACGCTTATCTTGAATGGTAAAGCTTCATAAAATTGAGAGACCAAGGAAACTACATATTCATAGACTACAGGAACACAAAGCTCCTTCGAATCTATATCTCTCCCTATAAAAGGATGAATGGTAATCTAAGCCCATGAAAACGATAGTTGCACGTTTGATGCAAAGTTTACATCAAAAGCATTCGTTCTATAAGAATCGCTTTACCTTCGACACCGCTTCCTGCAAACTCGGAAAGGTTGATGTCGACAAAACCAAGCTTCACAAACGACTTGCCGCCTTTTTGCTCCTGAAAGTGAAAAACTTCACGAAGAGGTAAGACGCAATCAAAAATACCTTTCGTATTGATATTCTGCACAAACATCGTTCCAGCATGCCCGTAGTTGGATCAGATGTTATCCGACAGCAAAAGTTCGAACGATGCGACCACGAACAGCTGTTGCGGAACACCTTAGCAAACGTTTGATGATCACTGATTTGCAATAAGTAAGCAAAGCTTGGCCACGAAGCTACAATTAAGAAAAACGAACTTCCACACGCTCTGTACAGTCATCAAACGTCCCACCATCCAACAGTCGAATTTTAGCAAATAGAACAGCATTCACAAGGGGCACATCACTGAGGTTACATACCTAGAATTGGTTAAAGAAGCAGGAGCATCTGACATGTTATTTTATTCTCAAGATTTGTAGTTGAAGAACGGTGAGAATGCACGATATGCAAAGGGTGACTGGATGAGTAGGAAAAAATTACCTGCAAATCAACACTAAACTTGACCTTCTTGCGTTTGAGAAAAGCCATTTTATGCCATAACCAGTCGACGAAGAAGTAGCGGCCTGCAAAGTGATTTTTCGAAAATTCGAATCACATATTACAGGAACGCTCAGTTGGTAATGAATAGGCACATGGGAAAATCAATGGCTAACTGAGGTATGCAAGTGCAATGGGGGAAACTTGAGAAAAAAGTGTGCTTTCTTTCAAGAAAAAAACCAATGGAATAAAAATGGAAGCAAGCGACAACTAACTGGAAGCTAAGCGATTAGTCTGATTCGAAGTGTTATTTATGGACTGATCATGAGTAGATATTTTACACAATGGCAATCGTCAAATACATAACCCACTCGATTTCACCAACTATTTACAACGCAAACCATGAAGAAGCGTGGACATAAGCGGCACAAACGACAACTGGCAGCAAAGCGAAATTCGCGACACGTCTCAAGTGCTTAACGTGCGTTGGCGTGTCGATGGGGCAGCTACGTCCAATACACCACACCCACAATACGGCTATCAAAGCTATGCACTTACGTTTCATACGACTTCGAAGCATCAACGCTGCCGATGGCTTACTGTTTGGTAGCAGCATTTCTGAAATAAAACGCATTACTGAAGATACAAAGAACAACGTACGTAATATTCCACGCAACACAAAGTCTTCTCGTCATGACTGTATACAATGAGAGGAAATCAATGAGACTTGCTTGAAGACCAAATTTTGAGTATCGTGAATGAATTCTTGGTGGATTTTGGCGAAGGATATTCAAAAGCTGTGAAATTGAGTACTATTCAACTCCCTCCACAGTTTGTCCCAAAACGGCGCCGAGTTTGAAAGCAGTTATTTCCCAGAGTGGCGAAGGTCGGTTTTCTGGTTCATAGATAACAGCCAACTTTTCTCTGATGTGCATTTATTACACGATCGTTTTTCTCCTAAAATATTTTTTACAATAGCTTCGCTAGCTATCTGTTATGAGTGACAGCAGGTTGGATAAAGGATGATGAAACAATTCTGCTTTTCTTTTTCTTTGATTGCTTCCTTCCAAACCCTACAAACGGGCGATCACTCTTTTGAGCGACATTGCTAAGACTTTTTAAAACTGGCTATGTGGCTGTGTAAGTGAAGTGCAAGCAAGATTCTATGCATTTTCGAGCACTGAGTCTTCTTACAAAGTGAATGTAACTTAGTTACCGCACAGTAAGTAGTGCTCAAAGCTACTACATAAACCGCCTTTTTCTGATTCTTTCTAAATTGACGGATGTAAGGATTTCGAAACGGAGGCAGGTTGCCTGTCAATTTGATAAGAAGAGATTCTCCATATTGGTCACGAGCACATTCTCGCCGTGTAACATGCTGTTGGTGGTAAACAGGAGGTGTTGTGAAGGGCTTAAGTCGTGATAATCACCTCGATATGTGATGTTCGGTTTATCCGCTTAGAGGTGAAACAGCTAATTAGCGTGGGTGTTTGTGTATATGCCTTCATGGCAACGAAACCGCCATTTCACACCGCGCACGCTCTCCTCGCTCAAGCACATTACGGATGTATGTAAATCGTTGAGCGTATGTTTGAATGATTCATAGCGCTGGCTTTTGCTGAAGGGAACATGCGCTGTTCGTGCAGAAGTGACATCACGACCTGGAGACACGTGGTGATAGTGCAACGTTGCACAATGCATTCTGCAGCCAGCCCAGCCCGAGGCTCGCTCCGAAGACGAGGACGGGGAGCAGATGATCGCACTCGCCTCGGCTGTGCGGAATTTGGGATCCAGGAGCTGGATAGCAAGACCAGCTACGTGTTGGCCTATGTTTGCTCTAGAGGAGGATCTCCGAGTCGAAGAACTGAACTCGTGCAACGGTGTCAATACATGACAGCCGTTCATTGATGGAGAAAGACCGTCACATCAACTCGACCCAGTGCAGTGAATACTTTCGTACTTTGAAATAACATCGAGAGAGTCAAATCTCCAGGATACTTTTATGCATGATAATTCTTCAGCGGATCTAAAAATAAGCTTTTGAATTAGCAAGAGATTATGTGAGGTTCCAAATTTCACACGTTATTTTTCACTGTATGCGCAAGTGGAGAGATCATTAGTGAGAAATGTAGCTTAACAAACTAAGATTGCAGAAAATTAACAATGACGGGACCATGTTGGACGAAAAAAAAGTAAGAAGATGTTTAGAGAGCATACAGCCCCGAACGCTCGATTTTCGCAAAGAGAAGAAATCGGGGGTCAAGTCGTGGGAGCACCTATATCAGGGTCTTTTCCTCGATATCCCAAAACTTGACGTCATGGCTATTAAAGAAAGAGCGGTGAAATTCGAATCCAAATGTCTGCAGTTCCAGCTTATGAATTAGAAGCACAAATGTTCAAGGAAAGGAGAACGGACAACAGCAGAGACAATAACTGCATCTGAAACACTGGCTATTTCAATATGGGTAGAGGTAAAAAAATTACTGAAGATGTTTTTCTTGCACTCGAAGAAGACCTCTTCGTAACGGTGAGAAGAACAGTGTCTGTAGCACGAAAATTAGAGAAACATATCTCAACAGTATAGAACAGAACGATATCACACGACAGGGAAAAACGAGTAAAATTAGAGGTTCTCTAGAAAGCAGTAAACGGCAACCATCCTGGGCTGCCTGATCCGGTATTTTTGAAAGTAAAGTCTGAACAGTAAGCTTCGTAATTAACCACGGATTTATCTCTCGTATAATTGAGAAGCACGACAGTGAGAAAAGAAAGCCAGACCATCTGAGTCAAAGTCGGCATCCACGAACACTCATGAGAATCACCCAGACCAAGCGGACTTTAGTCCCTGTTATTAGCAGCAGCCACTATGCGAATAAAGGACCAAGCAGTAACTCCCTTGATGTAGTTTGCAATGTGGCATTTTTGCAGCAAAAAAGTCTCGGGCAAGAGCATGAGAGGAGGATAGATACACGGAAAGCTGAGAGCGAAAATACTGCCTTAACGGCAGTGGGATTTTTCGAACTTGCCATGAAAACTCGATCGAATGTTGTGCTGCATAGTGTTAGAGCGAATTGCAGAACAGAATTATTGCAGAAGGAGCGAACTCAAGGATGTGAAAAAGCGGCGATGACGGGGTTCCCACGGTTGCGTGTAGACAGCATGAGGCGTTGTCTGAGTGCATTTCCAATCCCTGGAGATCTAAATGAAAAATGCATGTTTTGCTCTGGTACACCCTCGATCAGCGCTTTTTATGCACAAAACTTCCTCGAAAGAGCATGAAATCAAAAATTGCTCTGTAAAACGGCTTCAGTTGTGCCCTGAAGCAGACTACTGCTGCGGATGCAACTCACTAACTATTACTACTCGATAAGCTTTGCTACTACACAGATTTCCTCACCAGGTTTTGTTTTGAGGATTATGCGGATCTGATTGCAACCAAATTTTCAGTATGTGTTTAACTTTCTATCTTCCCACTATATCTCTTTTTCTAACGTAAAAATCTGGCTTCAAAGCAACCCTTTACCAAAACTTCCCTCGATGGAGGATCCCATCTAACTTCAGCCCATTTCAGACCAAGACCAGTAGGATGCAGCAAAGTTCCTGGAAAAGTCCCAGGTCTGCACTGTCGGAAAGATGGCAGAACTGTAATTCCTGGTTTTTTTATCGTGAAATGAGAGCAAGTGGCTGGCTGTATCAAAGAATTCAAACATTCGAAAATTCAGGAATAGCACGATCGAATTTGTATTTCGCACAATATTCTTAGTCTCATGTACTGTTGCCATTTTGGTGCTGGCTCCAAGAGCATCAAGCAGTACGATTGGTCCATATCATTATAGCAGCAGCGTATTCAGCGAGAACGTACGTTTTCTTAAATCGATGACTAGGGGAAAAATTGTAAGTAGCAGAAGATCCAATGTTCGTGCTTTTACTGATTTGATTCACTTGAGATGGAAATGGAGAACGCGTTTGCGAATCAATGTACAGAAATTAATAAGAATACAATGCAATTCAGCCTCAATTCTGTTGTCATGAATTTCAAGTCATTTCGCCCAAAGTTATTAAATGTGGCAGCGTGAGTGGATTGAATTCAAAAAGAAAGATTTTTAACTGTTAGTTTCGGACAATAGTGATTTGACGATAACATATCAATACGGTTTCCAATGAGGGAGATCAGTCTGGTCGATACGATTTGATCACACGCAAACTTGGAATAAACAGTGCTGCAGTGGTAGATTTTTCTCACAAGAGAACCATGTTTAGTCGGGCCTTTCTAGATGGGATGTAAACCGTAAGTGTAAGCATAAAATGCTGATTTCAAATCTGCCTTCCTTATCTGCGAAACATTCATGGGCGAGGAGTTATGAGCTTTTATTAAGGCAAAATTCAAATGCCCATTTGAGATAAATTGAGTTGCTAAAATCTCCATAGCACTTAAGTATAGCAACCAAGTGTGATATATTTTTTCTATCTGAGAGTAACTTACTGAGTAAAGCGCTGATAATCATCAATGCTCCTTTAGAGCGCTAGAAAAAATATTACGACGACTTTCTTCCTACTTGCGCATGAATTTTTTGGCCCTAAAAGCTCATAACTCCTCGTCCATGAATGTTCCGCATATAAGGATGGTAGGTTCAAAATCAGCGTTTTCTGCTCACGTTTCATGTTGTACATCTCATTCAAAAAAAAAAGAAGAAACAACTTCGATTAAACACGGTTCCCTTGTTGGTGACATGTGCAAGAAAAAAATATTAGGTTTGAAAGAAAAAAATGTCGTTTATCATGACAAATGATAAGACGAATACAAAAAAATATATCCGATATAGCAAAGGGAGCCCTACAAAATGACCTTTGAAGCGTGACAGAAGTTGTGATTTAGCAAAGTTTGGAGCCAGAACGTAAGAGCAACTCTTACGTTCTGGCTCCCAAAATCGAATTTTCGCCCCAAAATCCTACGGACCTCTCAGTTGCTCCTGCATGTGACAAACATACGCACACCAGTGGCGGACCCAGGATTTCGGCTCGGGGAGGGGGGGGGGGGCGACAAAAGTTTTTTTCTTACGAAGGTGCGTGGTGTTAGCCACGCACCGAGAAAAATTTTTTGGTATGCTTCTCAAAACTTCCGCGGGCCCATAACCCCAAAATTCTAGAAAAAGGGGGGGGGGTGGCGTTAGCCACGCCCCCGAGAATTTTTTTTCATAAGCTAGATTGAATTTTTAAAAAATTTTAAAAGTTATTTTAATTATTTACAAGTGCAGACAAGTCCTTTGCACAATTTTATAACCCACATAAGTAACTTTCAAAAATTTTGCGACCCGTTCTCGGGGGGGGGGGAGCGCCCCCCCCCCCTCGGTACGCCACTGACGCACACTTATCCATACGTACACTTGCTATATTTTTTTGCTTGAAACAAGAAAAAATTGAAAAGCAGAAAATGAAATTCCGCCACTACTAGCCCTTAGCTCCTCCCAGATATACCGTTTTATGCTACAAACCCAGTGATCTGCAATCATGAAATCTTGGTTCCGGATATGCCTTAGTTCTTGAGAAATATCAATTTTAGCCGAAAAAAAAACCAGAATAAAGCAACATTTTTTCCCAACTTAATACTTGAACCCACTTGTCTTACCACTGACTTCAATAACTGTATGACTTCAAAAGTGGAATTTACGTCGATGCGGACAGG